TCTGGATAATGTTATATGAAGCACCATTACTTCAGACGAGTTATACTTGAAGCCCGCCCTCTGAGAAATACTGAAAATATTGTTATAAATTGTAGCAACACCTCCCCTTTTACCTTTCGGCCATGGCTCATGTTTAAAACAGTAATCTTGGGGGGGTGGGTAGACTCGTTTAAAATAATGTAATCATCAGGTTTTAGCCAGGTTTCTGTCAAACAGAGCACATCTAGGTTATGATCAGTGATCATATTGTTTACAAAAAGTGCTTTCGTAGAAAGGAAACTGATATTCAATAAGCCAAGCTTTATCAGTTGTTTATCCATATTACATCTGTTTTTTATTTGTTGAACATCAATTAAATTGTTACTCTTAAATTGGTTTGGACGTTTTTTGTATTTTCTAGTTCGGGGAACAGACACAGTCTCTATAGTGTGATATCTAGGTGAAAGAGTCTCTATGTGCTGAGAATTAACTGACTTCTGTGACGTGAGGCGGCTAGCAGATGGTCGGTTTAGCCAGTCTGTCTGCTTCCTGACCTGGGCCCCAGTTAGTCAAGTGCTATACTAATGCTGAGAATTAACTGATTTCTATGACGTGAGGCGGCTAGCAGACAGTCGGTTTAGCAAGTCTGTCTGCTTCCTGACCTGGGCCCCAGTTAGTCAAGCAACTATACTAATGTCTGTAGTATAGTTACTTACCACAGACATTGAGTCAAAGCTGTGGGGTTATTTTTAGGTGACAGGACAAACTCTAAATCGCGAGGTTTGAAAAAGTAAAGCTGTATAACTGGGTTTTGGGTTTGTGTCATGCTTTTACACAAAAATTAAATGCAGAAATGTTCAGAACCAGTTTGGGCACTTGTTGAGGGATTAATGTATCTTTGTGATCATTAGCAATCCAATCTTCAGAATGCTCTAAACTGTCAGTTCCCTTTCAGTCGGTCACTACGAGTCACGTCGTGACCGACGTAGATAGGAGCGCAGGCGGCTCGCACAGGGCACTGGAAGGGGCAGCACCATGGTGCTTTGGTAGGGATCCCAATTCGTCGGTCACGACGTGACTCGTAGTGACCTGTCACTAAAGTAAGAAAATGACAAAAAAATGTCTTAGATTTTGGATTTATTACAAAACTCAAAACAGAATAGACAACATATGTACTGTAACTGTAGTTCAATAATAAAGCGGCTATATGTAGTGGTATAATTTGCATGCATTAAACACATAACACATAGGCCCAAAGAGAATTTAGACACTTAAGACACAATTAAAAATACATGCATGCCATTGCATTAAACTAAATACCAAAGCAAGGCATTTATTTTAAAGGGGTCCTATTATGCTCTTTTACAAAGTCTTGA